ACTCTTTATTCACTTAGTGATAAAATACGTAATATCACTTTTTCGTGGGGCTGAAATGACTGATAAAAATAAAGTTTTAAAATCTAAAACAAAAAAAGTATACAAATCAAATAAACTAAATACAGCTAATTTTGCTAACTTTAATTTGAACGATTATAGGGTGTATCTAAACGCTATAGCATTAATTGGTGGAGTAACTGCACAAGGTAAATATGTTCAAACAGCTGATTTACCTAGAGAATATCACTTATCTGCACTAGAATTTGCGGAGCAGTTTAATATTGCACCTAATCACGCTTACACAATATTAAAACAAGCAACAAAGAAATTAATGAAAACAGATATAACGATAGAAAAACCTGAATTATTCCAAACATGGCAAATCAATGTTTGTGAACGAGCGGTTTATAATGAAAAAGAAGGAACTATAGATATTCTTTTTACAGGTTCAATCATGGAATATCTAAAGCAAAGAACAAAGAATTTTACTCTTTATAATCTCAAAGAAGTAGCTGACTTAACATCAATTTATGCAGTACGAATATATGAGTTAATGCAACAATTTAGCTCTACTACAGGCATGTTAATCCACTCTATAGAGAAATGGCGTGAAATACTTGGTGTACAACCTACACAATACAAGCTATATGGACATTTAAAAGATAAAGTATTTAATCAAGCACTCGAAGAAATTAACCTCAAAACAGGTTACAACTTGGTAATGACAGAGATAAAAGAAGGTAGAAAAGTGGTTCGTGTCCAGTTTGATTTTGCTCCAGATATGGTTTACACCGGAACTAATCCAAGAACTGGCGAGATAGTTGATAGACACATAAAACCAAAAGTTAAGAAATTAACGGCTGAAGAAAAAGCAAAGCTCGAAGCAAAAAGAGCTAAACAAAAAGAATACCGAGAACGCCACAAAGCTAAAAAATTAGCAGCAACAGAAAATCCAGAAATCATACGAGATTTAGCTGAATACGCATTGCAGAAAGAATTTGAAGAAGCCGCTTTTACAGATATTCACCCAGATCAACTGGAGTTGGGAATATGACAACTATCAGCGAAAAATTAATATTTCTTGGACTAGGAGACCTTAGAAAAAGATGGAACTACACAAGACAAGGCATAAATTTAAGAATCAAACAAGATTACGACTTTCCTAAACCATACACAATCATCAATAATGGAAAGACTAAAATTTGGTTACTTAGCGACATTGTAGATTACGAAAATTTAAGGACAAACTTAGTTCGTCGGCTAGAAGATTCTGCATTTAATGTTTATTGCAGAAGTAAAGAAGACTACGCAAAGTTAACCGAAGATGAGCGGAAAATTTTAGCAGGAAATAATCCATATTCAAAACTTAATACAAGCATAAAATGAACAAAGCACAACTTTGACGTAAGTCAATGTATAAGTGCGCAGTTGAAAAAACTGACGGCACTAAAAAATAGCCGGTTAAAAATCTGCATTGTCTGGCTCTGTTAAAAACACGCCTACAGTCATTTTAAAATAGCTCAAACATAGATACGTAGCCTACGACTATTTTAATTCGCTCTATGGCGTTAAAAACACGCCTAAAATTGATTTTAATTTCATAATGCAACCGCATTTTTATTTGGATGTTAGAAAATGTTAGAAA